CCCCCCCCCCCCCCCCCCCCCCCCCCCCCCCCCCCCCCCCCCCCCCCCCCCCCCCCCCCCCCCCCCCCCCCCCCCCCCCCCCCCCCCCCCCCCCCCCCGATGCGAGGTCGGCAACCGGTGTACCGTCCCGCGGGAATGTGATTCCCTCATTGGATACGTTGTCCTCCTCCGACGAGGGTGATGGCGAGGGCGATGGCGAGGGCGACGCAGAATCCTCATCCGTCGCATCATCAAACACGATGCTCTCTCCATCAGTGGCAGAATCGTAGTCTGCCATGCTTTCCTCCTCTTCCTCTTCCTCTTCTTCCTCCTCATCGGACGCCATTTCCTCATCCCCGTCCGCAGACCGGATAACGTTGAATACGTGGCCTGCCGAAGTCAAATGCCGCGCCCATTTCGCACCAGCATACGTGACATCGCAGTCATCGCAGTAGTGACCGTAGTCTTCGTAGCCTTCTTCCCCGAAGCCGTCATCCTCATACTCTTCCTCTTCTTCTTCTTTCTGCTCTTCCTCTTCTACGGACAGCACCACGGACTCCGGTGTCGGGGCGTGAAGCCTCACACTCTCTTCCTCCTCTTTGGCCTTAGCCACATTCTCCAAATGCGCTCTTGCCTTCAAATGGCCACCCCAGTTCGCCGAAAAAAAACCCCCGATCGCACTCTTTACAATAATGCTCCGGTACCTTCGAACCTCGCTTGAGCATGTCCCTCTTCGCCTTGTTCTTGACATTGATTGCGTGCATCGCAGAGACCGCGTGACGCTTCCAATGGCACTTGAGCAAAACACGATCACAGGCATCGCAATATTGCTCTGTTGCACATATCTTCCCGAGCGCCTTGTTCATAACTTTCTCAGCTGATGCCGAGCGTTGTGGGCTCTTCGCTGCCTTCTTGACGAACTTGATGTTCGGGCCTTTGCGTTGTGTGCTCCTGGCTACTTTTTCCATGTGCATTACGCCCCGGAAATGGCGTGTCCAGCTGTGGTAGTACTGGGTTGTGAAGTCGCAGGCTTTGCAGGAGCAGCCTCGTAGTCGCCCGGGTGCCTGTACGGGTTCCGATATGGGACTGTCGACGCCATCGTATTCGGCAACCTCGCAGTTGGCCTCGCTAGCCGTCGAACTGAACTCAGCACTTCGCGGCGACATGGGCGCATCGCTAAGCAGACTACTCCTTGCAGGACTATTGTAGTCCTCCAGCTCCTTCAACATCCTCACCGGGGTTTCCGCAGCCCTCTGTGTAGTCTTCAGAGGTAGTGTTACCTCTACCTTCTTCAAAGTCTCAAACTCGACAACACCCTCATTCCCACCAAGATGTTTCTCAATCCTCCTCCTCCCCCTCTCCGCCCTCCTCTTCGCACGCCTCTGAATCGCATTAACCCTGCGCATCTCGCTCTTAAGCTGACGCGCACTCCGGATCGGAGCGTCACCATCATCGTCGGAGGAACTGGCGGAGGAGTCGTGTTCGGGGCCGAGGTCGAATGTCCTGTTGCCTAGGCGGAAGATGCTTTGTTTCTGAACCTTTATGGGGGCGATGGGAGCTGGGGCTGTGACCGGGGCTGGCTTGGGGAGGAGTGCGTCGAGGAGGGCGGACTGTGACGAATGGCGGTCTGTTATTTTCCACTCTTTTTGTAGAACGCTTGTGAGCATACCAGAGAGCAGGGTGTATGCGGCCTCTTTTTTTTGGTCTATTGTTGTGGACATGTTGACCATTGGTATGTATGGGAGTTAGACGAGCTGAAAGAGTTGGGGTGGAGTGCCGGTTGGGAAAACGGTAGACAGTGCGCACAAGATGGAGACTGCGCGACGATATGAGAAAGTACAAGATAGAGGGTGTCCCCTTATTTTGTACAAGTCTGCTGTGGTGCGTCCCACGGTACCGAAATGGCAGCCTGAAGGTGGAGGCCACGACAACCAAAGTACCACAAAAAAAAGGGCGAATCAAGAAAATCATATTGGAGAGATGCGTGCCAGTCAGAACTTACGAGGTCCCTACACATCGAAGTAGACACAGTAGTTTGTGTTCACCCACCTTGGTTCCCAACTCTTGCGATGATAACATCAGCCCTTTCCATACGCTAAGCTTGCCTCTCAGCGCTCTCGCATGCACGAAGACCCTTAAATCCATGACTCTTTGGATGCACCACAAACCATGGGTTTCCATTGCATGTTCAAACTGTGGTTGCTCATCATATCGTCGCCGCGTGTGAAATCGCCTTACTTACAATGTGGCTCTAACGCACTCAGAAAAGCTGTTGCCTGGTTCTTGTGAACGTGTAGTACTGGCAGATCAGAATGATATTCATGAACCGCAGAAGTATCGGAAATTTCCAGCGTCCTTGAGCTACGGAAATTTTCTGTGTTCGAGATGACTCAGGTTCACACAGCTTGAAGTTGGTGTCGAGGTGGTCAGAGTGCGCGACCATGATTATGGAATGGACGAGCAACGCGCCGATTCCTACACCGTGGATATCGCTTGGCCGACGTCTGTGCTGCTGACTATCCCTACTCAAGATTCTGGGATACTCCAGGGTAAAGCCGAGTCGGTTCGCGACAGCAATATTTAGTGTGAACTCAATGGCGTGAACTTATTCAGGGTCTGCAGCTTTGGGTAAGAAGTGGCCAACGCACGACTCAGCCGTTGTTGTGAGATCAGGCATAACAAGACAAAAACTTATTGTGCGAGATCCAAATGAACAAGGGAGAAATCCATCCCTTGCAAAGCCCGATGCATCTCGTATTGCAGCGATGATCAAGACACCTGTCGCTTCAGGCGGTCTGTAGGCGAGAGCGGGGCGGAAGGATGATGCGCAAAGCTCGCTCGGTTGGCGTTCAACTTTGTTCGAGAAGCGTTCGATGCTTTCGTGTGCGGGGGTATCCCTGACCTGGCTTTTCTGTGCACTGCGATAGACGAGATCTTACCATGTCTCAGCGGGCGCCCGCGAAAGATACTTTGCGAACGAACGACAATTAGCAGTGTTCCACAAGCTTCTCTGGCGCTGTGTTCTTGGTCGCACCGAGTGCAGACTTCCCTGCGCGCGCGCTGGTAGCGGCCTGTTAGATGCACCTTGTCAGCCCTAGGACCAGGGTCTTTGCTTGTGCAACACTGGACAAGAGATTTGCAATGCAGTATCGCCTGTCGCATCGCCTGTCGCATCGCAAAGTCCAACCAGCTTGTTTGGCGCGAAGGTTGTTCGGCGACAATGGTAAGGTGTCCAGTAGATATCTCGACACGTGTTGGCGGCCTCCTAGTGCTACCCAGACGGAAGGACAAGTCTTGCCGGTGATGCACCTCCTACAGGTTGGTCACACTCAGCTCTAGCAGGCAATGGCTTAACCCGATATGCGTTTATTTACCCGCAGATAACCCATGGAGGATTCCGCCAGATGTCTTCAGATGCGGCGTTGTGGCTGGCAATGGAAGCCGCCCTTGCGATATGCCCATTGCGGGTAAATAGGCAGGGAGATTGAATTGGACAGGCGGAAGTTGATGTCAGCGCGCGCTTTAGATAGGACGAGGCGCGCCGCTGGCCACCCTGGAAGGGAAACCGGCCCGTAAGACGCAGTCTGGAGATCGAATGCTCGTGTGCTTGATCGTTGGACAGCGCACCATTGCACGATTGTCACATCGGGAGCTACATACGTCACCCGCAGTGGGAGCAAAGGGTCATGGCGAGGACGCTGCGGGGCCATTGCGCACTGAAATGGGCAGTGAAATAAGGGCAGGCTAAGAATACGCGGCATCAGAGATGTGCAAGCAGGCACAGAATGGTTCGTCGTGACGATGCAGGAGCAAGCCACCGATAGCTAAGCGAGCAGTGAGGGTGCAGAGGGTGCAAGAGGGAGGTGTTCTCGAAGAGATGCCGCTCGCGCCGGCTGGACCGGGACCCAGGTACTGCGCAATCAGCCTTAATCAAATTCTGCCAGTCCGTCGGATGAGGGTTGAGCAACGCAAACGGTGCAGTGTGGGTGGTATGGGCGGCTGCATGGTGTGTCTAAGCGGGTCAGAATGTCGCTGCACGCCGCACGAGGCTCGGCTCAGTAAGGTACTTGGGTAATGGGCAATAGAGAGGTGCAGCAGCGGACGGGACGACGCTGATTGCAGGAAGAACAGTGTGGCGGGCCCCAGTGCGCAGCGCAGAGCGGCACGTGATTGGCCCGATGCAGGCTAGCGGCCCTGGCACGCTGAAGTTCTTTCTGCGCTGGGGAGCGGTCTGCGCCTTTAGCCTTTTGCTGAAGAAATGCCCGATTGCTCTGGCTGCATCGGCCTGCCGCCCTCTCGTCGCTAGAAGTGCTCCTCTGCCCAAGCTCTCCTCGGCCAGCTCATCGTCGCGCGTCGCTAGCCCGTCGGACAGCAGTACCCTGTTCGCTACCTTCCGCTCAAGCGAGACTCGCTTGTAGGCAGCTTGTAAGTAAAGTCGGTTGATTCCTTCATGGCACTGCCACATGCGCCCTCATTACCTGCTAAAGGCGGCTAGCCAGCTGCAGCCCACCCTCCACTGAGTCCACTCGCTGCCTCCTAGACGGACGAGATGAGTGAGGGATATCGCGCGCGATGCATTTCTGGGAGCGGCAGCTGGCATGCCAGGCCTTCATCATCCTCATCCTTCCTCATCTATCATAACTTAGCCCTCCTCACTTTCATTCCCTGGACTTGTTAGTCTTTGAGTCGTTCACGTATTTGTTATCCCAATCTATGTAGTGCACGCACAACTACGTGCAGCGCGGCGGCGTCGAACCGAGCGAGGCCAGGCCCCTGTTCCGCGGGTCATAACGCCTTCGCCAACTCAGCTAATCCCAGTTCCTTGCCAGGCTTGCCGTCCCTCTTCCCATCCGCCTCAAGCTTTCTAGCGCCGCCGTGCTCTTCAAGACATCCCCAAGAACTGAAGAGCGCCCCGGTGGCAGACTCCATTGCTAGCCCATGTCGCACGACTTTTCCACCCACATCTCCCAGGCGCCCTACTCGCCGGCCCCTTCGCACTTTTCCCACCAGAGCATGGCCGATCCTAACATGCAGTCGCGCCAGCAGCAGGCCGTCGCCTATCCCTCACCGCACTCGTACCCGTCGCCCTCGATGCAGCCCACGTATACCTACCCGCCGCCCCAAGGCCAGCAGAGCAACGATGGCTACCGCAGCTCTCCCCAGGGCTCCAACATGTCGCTGCCGCCCCTCAATCTGCCGCCAATACGTCTGCAGGACGGCCAGCAGCCCCAGGCGCAACCTCAGCAGCCGCCCCAGCCCATGGGCTCTCCGCTCCCACCGCCGCAGCACGGTATGCCGCAGTACTATCCGCACCCAGCGCATGCGCAGCAAGGCCCGCCCATGATGGGCAACATGGGCCCGCAATTCAATGCCATGCGATACCAGCTGCCGCCGCAGGGCGACCAGAGAGTGCTGTCTGGTGGTCGCCACAAGAAGGAGATCAAGCGTCGCACCAAGACTGGCTGTCTGACATGTCGCAAACGGAGAATAAAGGTGAGTGCATACGTCAATGGAACGCGGTGCAGACGCGACGCGATGTCAGAGGAGCTATTGCTTGTCGCTTGCTTAACCGAGCGAGGAACCCAAACTCCTCTAATCCAACCTCTCGCGTGTCAGAAGCGACCGGCTGTGCAGCAACACTGCTATTCAGTGGGCTGCAGCACTTTGCCTCGCAACATCGCCGTTGCGGGCTGCAAATACAGCTGCGCCGATTTCTGGCAAATTTTCTGCATCGCGCACCAACATCACTACTCACCTGCTCATGCGCTAACCACCACCCCGACAGTGCGACGAAGCCCACCCCATGTGCCGGAACTGCCAGAAGAGCAAACGAGAGTGCTTGGGTTACGACCCGATTTTCAAGCAGCAATCCGGTCCCGCCCAAATACAACCTGCTCCCAACTCTGCGCCCGCACCCCACGCGACAAGCGCACCGGCGCCCGCACCTTCCTCCTCCAATTACAGTCAAAGTCCGGTACCCCAAGGGTACGCGCCTGCCTCGTCCGCGGGGTACGCGACTGCCGCTCCTGCTACGAGTGGCGAACATCAGCAAGGCAACTTCCACGCCATAGACCCTGCACTGGCGCAAGCCGATCCCAATCTACAGCCACCCCAACACTACAACGGCGTGCACCCGATGGATCCCAACATGAGAGGGCCTCCAGGCGCCAGCTACCACCCGCCTCCGCCAGAGCCCATGAAAGGTTGGTATCCTGCTCCATATCGCCATCACAGTCCTAACGCAGATTCAGGCAAGCGGTTGAATATCCAAGACATTTTTGGCATCTGCAACCACAGCCCGCCCGAGGTTCCTCAGCGGACCTCGCCGGTACCCCGGGAAATCGACGACGAGTTCAGCCGCATCTTCATCAACGACTACTGCCAAGGGCTCGACCTCGTACTTGAGACCAACTGGTTCTCGACGAACAACAATGCTCTCAACAGAGTCTTCAGCGACCGCTCCCTACATGAAGAGGCCGCTTTCTTCACCGAGACCATCAAGTACAAGGCTACCGCCGACACCGATATGACCGGCGTCTTTAGTCAAGAGGCTCGCTTATTATGGCACTTGTTGAGTACGTGCAAGCAGAACCTTCCAAGCACCAACGGAGCACAGCCAGAAGGTGAAGACTTTGCGATGAGAGAAACCCGCGCGCGTCTCGACGTGCTGGAAGCTCTTATGACGAATCAAAATCTGGACTCGAATCCCACACGTCAATTG